ATTTAAAAACAAACAATCATTACACATTCAAGCCATCTCCAACCATTATTAGTCATCGAATTTAAGATTTAATTGTTTTAACCGGCCATATATTTACACAAAGGATTAGAACTTAATTGTTTGTTTGGAGGGTTCATGTGACGCAAATCTAACACTTCAATACTCTTAGGGATTCTGAAAATGCTTGCCTTTCTAACAATTTTTAACAAGAACTAGGATTTAATTGTTATCAGACAATGTTTCAATTAACATGGCTTTAGTAATTTACTCTAAAGTTCAAATGCCTTTTTGAGCAATGATTTCTAAAAATTAAAACAACAACACCTAGTTGCAACTGTTTCTGGTTAGGTTGTGCTATCGTGTCTACTTTCATTTATTATCGAAAAATGTTGTGAATTTAGATGTCTTCTAGCCAGTGGTTGCTTTCTGGAAATCGGTTATGACATCGATTCAGAATTTGCGTCTTTCCTGTAAGATAATTTTTTTATAAGTGATTATTGAACAAGTTTGCTGGAAAATTTGAAATTATGTGGGTTCTCTGTACAATGATGATTGGCGAAGTTTCGATTAACGTTTATAAAAATTGTTTCTGGTCTGACTCGGAGATTACAAAAATTGTCTGGACAATGGTTTCTGAAATTAATTCATTAATATGTTTCTTGGAAATTATTTCTAACAAGGATTAGTATTTTTAGAAATTACTCAGAATTTGTTACTTCAACAAGGAAACAATTGATTTCTCTATAATTTATGTACAGGCAAACAACTGATATATTTACATCTTTGTAATTAATAGACTATTCCATTTTACTTTATAGTTAATTTCATTAACTCTTACTGACAACGATGTTTACAATAATATTTTATTTACCTCTGCCACCGAAGGTCATGGAGGTTATGTTTTCATCCCTGTGTGTGTATATGTGTCAGCAGGATTTCTCGAAAACGGCTGAATGGATTTGGAAGAAAGTTGGTATAGATTTGAACCATGACCCAACTTAGAAGTAATTAGGTCAAGGTCATAGCAAGGTCACAAAAAAATCCCTATCTGTTAACACCGGGACCGATTTTTCACACTATTTTTGCTCTATAACTCAGTCAAAAATGATCGGACTTTGAAGAAACTTAGTGGATATATGTAGCATATTATTCCTCAGTGTCCTGCCAAAAATGATCCGTGTCCGCTATTAACGACGGGCATGGTGCACTTTTTCGTATTTTTTAAGAGCCGAATATGATCAGTGCTGCGTGTCTGAGTTATGCGCTCTACTGAGTGCTCCTCTAGTTTTAATTGTAATTATTATTGGCTTAATGTGTGAACAAACTAAGCCATAAATTTATAACAAACCTAAATTTTCTAAGCTTGTCGCTCCTACTGAGCTTTTATTGGTAGTACTACCAGAAACATCGTGAATACATGTTGACGAACATTGATCTTTTATTGGTAGTACTGCCAGAAACATCGTTAACACATGTTGACGAACATTGATCTTTTATTGGTAGTACTGCCAGAAACATCGTGAATACATGTTGACGAACATTGATCTTTTATTGGTAGTACTGCCAGAAACATCGTTAACACATGTTGACGAACATTGATCTTTTATTGGTAGTACTGCCAGAAACATCGTGAATACATGTTGACGAACATTGATCTTTTATTGGTAGTACTGCCAGAAACAACGTGAATACATGTTGACGAACATTGATCTTTTATTGGTAGTACTGCCAGAAACATCGTGAATACATGTTGACGAACATGAGTACCCCTCGTCAATTTTACCCCCCAGTGGCACAGCGGTAAGTCTGCGGACTTACAACGCTAGAAACTGGGTTTTGGTACTCGTGGTGGGCAGAGCACAGATAGCCTATTGTGTGGCTTTGTTCGCAATTTCATACAAACAAACAAACCTCGTCAGTATTATATATGATTGTGTACAGCAAGGTGTGTGTGTTATGTATAAGTTCTTTTACTTCAGTCAAGATCTTTTATTTGTAGTACTAACATAAACATCGTTAACATATGTTGACGAACATGAGTACTTCTCGTCAGTTTTTTATATAGGATTGTTTTTAGTGAGGTGTGTGTTATAAGTTGTCTTACTTCAGTCAAGATCGTTTATCTGTAGTACTAACATAAACATCGTTAACATATGTTGACGAACACGAGTACTTCTCGTCAGTTTTTTATATAGGATTGTTTTTAGTGAGGTGTGTGTTATAAGTTGTCTTACTTCAGTCAAGATCTTTTATTTGTAGCACTAACATAAACATCATTAACATATGTTGACGAACATGAGTACTTCTCGTCAGTTTTTTATATAGGAATGTCTCTAGTAAGGTGTGTGTTATAAGTTGTCTTACTTCAGTCAAGATCTTTTATTTGTAGTACTAACATAAACATCGTTAACATATGTTGACGAACATGAGTACTTCTCGTCAGTTTTTTATATAGGATTGTTTTTAGTGAGGTGTGTGTTATAAGTTGTCTTACTTCAGTCAAGATCTTTTATTTGTAGTACTAACATAAACATCGTTAACACATGTTAACGAACATGAGTAATTCCCGTCAGTTTTTTATATAGGAATGTCTCTAGTAAGGTGTGTGTTATAAGTTGTCTTACTTCAGTCAAGATCTTTTATTTGTAGTACTAACATAAACATCGTTAACACATGTTAACGAACATGAGTAATTCCAGTCAATTTTTTATATAGGATTGTCTCTAGTAAGGTGTGTGTTATAAGTTGTCTTACTTCAGTCAAGATCTTTTATTTGTAGTACTAACATAAACATCGTTAACACATGTTGACGAACATGAGTAATTCCCGTCAGTTTTTTATATAGGATTGTCTCTAGTAAGGTGTGTATTATTTATAAATTGTTTTACTTCAATCTATTTTAAAGAGAAGTTCCAATAATTAAAACAGCGTAATGGGATAAACGTTCTTGAACCAAGTAGGCTATATTGTTCTTGGATAGGATTCAGATATATTTTATGACATAGACTTGGACACTTGTCAAATGTTTGATAACATTCACTGGCATGTGCGGATATTTTATGACAACTGCTTTCGGTAAGGGTTCAGTGAGTACACGTTGCAATGTAATAGTTCCTGGATTCAACTCAGAGTTTCGAAATTCACTGGCTGATTGATAGAAGCGAATTTCGTCTTGTGGCAACCTCAGAACTAACTTGACAATAAAGTCGACAGTTTTAGCTCTTAAACTAGGAGCCAATAATGTGTTTGCGTTTCACTTTCGAAACCCTGTCAATGTCACGTTCATACTTGAGCCGGTGAATGGTGAATGGTGAGTGAATGGAATAGGCGTAGCCTCTCAGGCCACACCTCCAGTAATCACGTGTTTCCTACAGTCTGCTACTTTACAACCGTGTTGTTATTTTCATCCCTGGCCAGTTAAGATAGCGACGGTGCTCGCCAAATTCAGAAGCTTCAAAGTGCGGCCAGTATTCGTAGTGTACAGTGAAGCTTTCGTCCTTGTTCCGAGCTTCTGAAAGCCATGCATCTTGGAGCTATCCTTCTTGCGTCAGTCTCAACGATGTGGCTAAGCTGTACATCAGCAGCAGGTAAGTAGTGGCTTCTAAGTAGGTTCAACTATATCAGTCACTGTGACAGGTACTTAGTAAATACACACACACAAAGAAAAAACAGGATATTCTATTCAGCTACCAGTGGCCACACAATTGTCACATTAATCCTCGTCAGCACATTTTCTCTCTTTCTGTCGACCTTGACTGCATCACCTCCAGATTTCTCGCTCAGCGATGGAAGACAAGCGAGCGAACCGCTGGAGTGTTGAGGTCGTCTCACAGCCTGCTGGAGGACAGGTGATGAAGTAGCCCCTTCACACGCTTATAGATTGCGAAGGAATTTGGTGAGAAAATGCTGTTACAGGCGAATCTAATTAGCGAGGCAGTAGAGCATATTTCGCGGCTGTTACTGTGATGTTAGTAGATACATTTTCGAAACAACGTGCTTTACATTCAGTAAACTCACTAAGCAGCGGTAGTTCTTAATATAATTGTTATTCATGTTTATTAATTTATGTTATTTTTCAAAGAACTGTATGATATTTCCGAGTAAGAAACAGAAGGTCATACTGGATTCTAGCTTAGTTCATAGTATACACACAAATACATCGATTTTTTTATTGTATTTCTAAGTATACTGTAGTTATTTTTCTTCTTTGTTTTTCAATTTTGAAACCCTTCTACACATGTTCTAACGTTATTTAAAGCATGCTGATGTGAACGATATGTTATAAAGCTGAAATGTTATCTTAATTTTGCGCTTGCGGGGCGATGGTCACGACCCAGAGCATCAGAGCGTAAACTCATTTTAACAAGAAAGGGAGAAAGAAAAAAAAAACTTTACTGTTGAAATTTAGTATGCAAATGCATAAACCAAAATGCATACAAGTCGCACAAGCTGTTTCGAACATCTTTGTCTTATAGGCGGTTTGTTATGTAACATTTTATTCGTACCGGGAAATATAAAACTATGCGCATGACTTCTGCGCACAGTTAGTTTGTTGCTCAAGTTCGATACAGCAAAAGCTGAGACATGAATGTGGCTGAAATTCAAGTACAGTCTTAGACCATTATACTCAAATTACTAGTTAGTCCGGATATACTAACAGATTCCAAGCATTTCTCCTTGTTATATTGTACTTCTCGTAATTATGAAATAACATGTGTATGATTTCACTAACAGTATACATAAATAGATTTTGGAATGTAGACAATCCTTATTAACTATCTTACTTCGAACTATCGGGTTTCTTATTTAGCGGTATACACACACGCACATATATATACTTCGAAATTACTTTACGATTATTTAGATGTTATTTTTTCACGTTTTTTTAGCTTGTTTTTGCTTTTCTTTTTTATTTATTTTCAATTCTTGATGACACCGTGACTTATGATGAAATTAGTCTCTAAATCATTTCTGTTAAGTTTCAGGATGAATAATGATAGTCAACTATACTCTTAAAATGAAATGTACCTTTTATATATGGCTCAGGAACCAGGAAACTTTATTTGTTTATTTCCTGTGTTGTTTATTACAAAGATACACAATGATGAGCTATGCCCACCACTGGTATCTAAACCCAATTTTTAGCGTCATAAGCCCTTAGACTTGCCGCTGAGTCACTAGGGGACAGAATTTTATTATTACTTTTTTTGTGGTTAAGCACAAAGCTACACGATGGACTATCTGTGTTCTGCCCACCACGGGTATCGAAACCCGATTTCTAGCGATGTAAGTGCGCAAACGTACCGCTGTGCCACTGGGGAGTAGGGGACAGGAAACTTTGCAAAAACCGTATTGTGCAACAATTGAAATTACCGTGGTGTGTAATTGAATCTCGTTTGTTTTTCAATTATTGTCATTGAGAATACCACAAAAGCTGATATAAGTATAATTTATTTTCGGCTGTATCACAATGGGTATGCGAAAAACAACAATAGCAAAACATTAATGAGTGACACATCGAAATAGCTATCCGATCCTAATGTTATCATACTGAAATTATTTTGTAGCTCTTTGTTGTTCTTGTTTTTAGTGGCGTCGTGCCCATACCCCATGGATGGGCATCCCCACCTCCATGATTTCCACATAATTTAATAATATGAAAAGTAAAAGGCACCCCCACTTATTATTTGTATTATTATTATTATTAACCCACCACTGCTAACAGAAGTACTTTGTTTTCTGACTATGAACCCCCCCCCCCTCAAAGTTGTTTTCTTATGTTTGGGCATATATCTATAAATGCAATGAAATTGAGAAGGGAATGTTAAACACAGCGATTTACATAGAGAATAAGTAAGTGGATGATGGGTTAATAGTCTTGTAAAAATAAAATATAGTTTCCCTTTTTATTCCGTGAAAACACTGACATTACTATAGATTATCATTTAACCTGTATCTCTCTCTCTCTGGATAATTTATGATTATTTTAGGTACTTTAACGGGTTATTCATACATAGTTCTGTGCTTATAGTTTTAACCACTTTCACAGCGTTTCATTGTGCTACTTTCAAATGATTTATCTTAAGCTAAATCCCAACCCTTTAATTTAGCTCTATTTTCATATCTTTACTTTGACTTAGACATTTAGCGCTTATATATATATATATTTACTATAACCACAGCTCCTACCTAAACCACCCCACATACTAAATCATAATCCTTAGCTCCAATTTAACTCGTAACCTATACTTTGCCTTGTGAGCAATTTCTACCACAGACTGAAACCGAAACGTTTCACCAGTGGAGTTAATGGAGCTTTGTTAGTTGGAGAGGGGGAATTACCAAAAAACTGCGAAGAACCAGCTCGACGATGGATATTAGGAAAGCGCGTGCGAGAGACATATTGGAAGGGAAGAGAAATAGTGAATAATTATTTGCTATTTAAATAATAATAATAATAATTTTTAGCTGTTAACTTTTATGTTTTATTGAATGGGAAAATAACGTAAGTTTCAGAAACTAACTGTCCCTTACCCCCCCCCACCCCACCACACACACAGAAACGCACACACTAGTGCATTTAATCCTTTTTTTGTGTCACTGCATTTTTCTTTTTTTACCTGAATTTCAACCTAATTATGTTCACTTTTGCGTAACAAAACCTATAATTTGCGCTACATTTCAATTGATCTATAATCAAAGTTATTACCCTTAGTTTCACGTAAAGTCATTTATTTTGAAATGATTTTATTAAACTCATAATCACGAAATTGACCTTAGCTCAAAGTGTATGTTAGTCGAGTTCAGTTTTTGTCTTCATTGACTTAAATTGATTAATTTGATCTCGACCATAGCCATGATATTTGACATAAGTTTGAAACATCCTACCTTAGACTCGGCTGCAATTCAAAATACAAACTCATTATTAATTGTCATTTTGTCTGACACGGACTATGACTTTTTGCAGTTAAACTTTAGTAGATGTTATCCAGTGAGCTCGAGTTTAACTCTTTTTGTGGGTATGACGCTTGTAAATGTTTATGTTGCAAATATTTTTTTTTTAACTTTCAAATAACGAAAAAGTGTAGTATGAAGATTGTTTCCAAATGCACTGGTTATTGCTTGTATTACAGTAAAAAAATAATGTGCAAAAATTAGCTAAGCCAGTGTTCGCCCCCTAGTGGCACAACAGTAAGTCTCAAGGCTTATAACGCTAAAAACCGGGTTTCGATACTCCGGTTGGCACAGATAATTAATTACTTACTCTACTTTTATGTAGAGTGTAATTTTTAAGTCATTATATGCCCAGTCAACTATAATTTATTAAATTATAGAGCTGCCACTATGTGGCAATACATAATGGCAGTTGAAATAAAGGCAAAAACCAACATTAGGATATACATTAGCAGTTTCGATTTTACCTTTTCTTGTATTGCATTTATCTCCTCCCTGTACTCTTGAATTTTGAAGTCGGGAGTTTCCGGAATCGGAAAAAAAAAGGAAGGGTCATACGTACCACTATAAATCTAGACAATCGAATTTTTCGACCTTGCTTCCACGAGCTCAAGAATTAACAAACCTTTTGTTTTATCAAACAGAAACGAAGAACCTAATTTTCTCTAGACGACGAATCTTTGCTAATTGTGTTTTTATTGGATTTTTGGGGACCAACGTTAAATTTAAACACACAGACATCAAATGAGTGTTTATTGCCTAATCCTAACAAGCAGTTGTGGCGTATTTTGGGTATTGTATTTATTACAAGTTGGGGGGTATTATGGGTATTGTAGTTATTACAAGTTGGGGGTGTTCTGAGTATTGTAGTTATCAATGCTCCCTAGTTTCTGTACTAGTATAGTTTTTGTTTCTGTTCGTTAGTAAAGGTTAAAGAATAAAAATTCCGAAGACGAACCTTATTTGAAAAATGACTTTACCTTTTATTGTTTTCTCTAAAATTTCACAATATTTATTTTTCGTAAAATAAAACTTTTGTACATAAAGGTTGTAATGGGTATTTTACTAACATATCTTGCTCTATGTGTTATAGATCACAGAGCGTAACCTAGTGTTATTCATATATAGAGCGAGATAAATACATTACTTCCTTTACGAGTAAGGCATTTCATCGTGCTTTCCCACCTACATGCAGTACGGAATACATTCACATGGCTTGTTTAACTGCACTCATGTACACTATATAAGTCGTATTTGTTTCTAATTTTTTTACGATTGCACATGCTAGATAACCATACCGTTAATTTCTATATGACTTCTATTTTGGTCGTACGAATTTTCTTCTTGTAATACATGGAATAAGACAAGCCGATTTAGTATCATGTCTTAACATCTTTACTTCCTGCTTAATCCTCATATGGTTTGGTACCGAGACGCGTAAGCCACTTAGTGACGTCGGTGGATGACGCGTGTATGACGTTTGCGACTCCCTCTTCCGGTATCAACAAACATTCCACGTGAGTGCTGTCATTGAAGTGGAGACGTCTCACGATTGAGATCTGGAAGGAAAAGCTCGTAAAAATTCATTAGTAATCGAAAAATGTATAACCTGAACTCACAGCCGAACGTTTCC